CCACACAGAATGTACACATACAGAATGTGGACAGTCATTGGACAGATCCCATCCATTCCACCACCAGGCACAACTGCTATGTGTACATGTATGCTGCCCCACCCCCCAGCGTGCTCGGAGTGCTTGGTTACATTTTGCTTTCAATACGTACAGTGTGGCAGAGGTTTGGCAGACTATGAGCATTCTTGTCCGAAGTGCATTCCTTTAGGGGCTACGGTGATTTGAGCCCTCGGATCAAGGGTTCCTTCCGTGACGGATGTCGACTCCCACTTCTGCTCGGACACGCCCTTATCCCGAATTCGACATCCGTTCGATTTAAGTGACATCCATGACTGTTGTATGAACAGATGTCAGATCACTCCCTCGGCACTTTCTACACGAACTGTACAAATATCGTTACGTTGCTCTTGTTCTGGTGCAATTCTGTGCTTGTTTTGTTCCGTTTTCCGAAGATGCAGCATTTGCTGTTGTCTTGTCTTGGAGCACCACATGCAGCATTTGCTTGTTCGTAACGCCGCATGTAGCACCTGCGCCTGCCCTACTGTACAGACCGACGAAGAGTCCACTGCCAACATCCGATGCAAGCACTCTCTCGGGAATTGTCGGCTCCGAGTCAAGCGCTTTGGAAGTACAGAACAGTTACGAGCTGTAAATTTGCGGTGAATGCAGCTTTGGCGTGTAGTAGAACTGATACACCTGAATTCTTTTAACGTAACAAATGTTTCGGGCTCAGTTAAGCAAGCCGCATTTATGGGAGAAATGTGCTCTTACTGTTTGCTAGTAACGATTGATAGCTTTTCCGCACTTAACAAAGCATCGTGGCAGGGGTCGTAACATTGCGTACTCGCGGGATGACCATGCCCCGTAAAACCCGACCAATTGGGCTGCCGGGTGAATAGAAGTGAACAATCTCGTGATCGTGTTCACACAGTGAAAAGGGTTAATCAGTGATACAGTAGATGGAGAGAGACGCACCAAGCGAACACTTCGCATCGCAAGCAAACCCCCTTCCGCTGAACCAGGGAAATTTCGGAACACCTGCGGAGGCATTGCCCGCGTGCGGTGCGGAGTCGTCAGACAAGGACGTTGCAGTGGGAACGGGACAAGAGGATGCGCCAGCTACAGTGCGTGGTGCCCGGCAGGGGGAAGATTTCAAAACTTGGGGCTGGGTGGGACAGAACCTAGAAATCAGATGGATGGAACTCGGCCGAAGAGGAAAGGGAGGACTTGGGGAAAGAAGCTCGGCAGCAGCATCTGCAAGCAAGCAACGGCACTACCACCACGAGTCAGTGCCGAGGGGGTGTGCCGTGCTGTGTTCACCTCGCTCTAAAATTGGTAAGGGGGGGCGGGAAAGAGCAGCAAGCATTGGCCGATGCCGGTTCGTAGATTTTTTCCCCCGATTCCTTGCAGGAAAAACGACGTTAGACCAGGGCTGTCGATTCAAGGGCTATTCCCTTGATGCCCTAAAACTTCCGGGCTACTTTCGCTCCAGCTCGACTGAATTAAGTGTTAGATTGGCACTGTACCCGTGCCACTAGGTGCTCGTTCGTCCCTTCCCGGATGCGTTAAGGGCCCAAACCAGGCCTTCCCTTGTCTCAAAGTTTTGGTTTCCGATTGTAGGCCCACCCCCCCCACCCAATTCTGACTGACTGCCCCCCACCCCCCCCCCCCCCTTTCTCCTAAGGTTGCACGTGAGGAGTGGATTTTTCCCTGCGTTTTCTGGCCAATCCCGTGTTTGTTAAGTGTAAGCCAGCTTTGGAGCACCCGAATCCCTTAGCGTCTAAGTGCAAACTCTTCACAGGCCCGGATCTTGTGGGTGCGCCCGTGACCGGCGCCCAAACGCTCAGCTACACCCAAAACAGGGTCAGATGGGGAGGAGCTGGGGAGCGTCGGCAGGAACTTCGACAGGCCTGGGTTAGACGGCTGCGCTTGTACACCCTCTTTCTCGCCATTGTGAATTCGGTTATAGTGAAGTCAAGATGGGAAAAGCACGGTTAACGGTGGTTAGATTAAGTCTAGGTATGGTTCAATCAGACAAATCGAAGGTAACTAGGTTTTCCATCAGTTCAGCACAGTTCAGTGTAGTGAGAAAGAGGGTGTAAACGTCGCCACCATGCGACTCAGGCCAGCGACGCAGGCAATTGGCTGATATCGCCGTCCTAAAAAAAAACCCCGGCCAACTTCATTGATACTCAAATTATGCCAGAGACGTTGAGCGTCGGTACTCAACCTCGATTTCTCATTGCTGATTTGTGATCGCTTTTCAATCACACTTTTCAAGCTACTAACACCCCTGAAATGTGACAGAAACAGAACGCAATTACCAAACTCAAATATACACTATTATGTCGATGTTTAACCTAGGAATAGACAAAAAAAAAAGAATACTCAGACCACTAAAATTTGTATCAAGCGCGATTTGCGTAAATATTAACAAAAAAACCCATTGGGAAAAAGGATGCAGACTGGGAATAACTCAACGGATTAGGGCTGATGGCACCATTAACCCTCCATTGACCGCGAACATAATTACCTTGTGCAGAAAAAAAAAACCCCCCTCGGATGGCATTGATTCTAAACATCATGCGACAATGTATTTAAGGTTAATGCCATTCGGACTGGATGCCTGTTAGCATGAGGGTTATTTTTAATTGCTTGCGGGAAAGGGCTCCGTTGGGCGGTGTTGTTTTTCCGAGCAGATAATGATAAGCACATGACAACTTCCCGAATTTAGGGTTAATATTTCCAAATTCTGTCCTGGTTATCCAGGCGTTTTAGTATGCTTTTTGGGGTATGTGCGGAGCTGCAGGTGGCGACATTGTTTCAAGATTGCGCTTATATTCAAAAACAACAGTATTTGTAGCCACTATAGTGCAAAAGTGTTGGTTGATTACGTTTGCAAACCGCTTCTGGCATAATTTGAGTATCAATGAAGTTGGCCGAAAAAACCCCTCAAACCGAGGTGTTATTCATCCACATCCCACACGATGGAATCCCAATAACGAATTAGAGGCTCTTTATGGCGACAATCTGACCTGCCGTGCGATTGGCGACACGAGCATTACTCTCATGCGATCAGGACACTCTTTCCTCTCGATTCACTGCTTTCCCAACGCGCAGACCTCTTCACTCTTCCAGCTGCAACGGCTGTAGTACAAAGAACGTCTCAGAATCTCAATGTTCAATCAAACCATACTTTTACCCTCCTTCCCACTGACTCAACCGCTCTTACTAGTTACCTGTCAAGCATCACGACTCACCGAACACCGTGGTGCTGCTCGTACCAGCACTACTAGTGCTAGTAGCATTCGGCGGCGCCGCACTAACTACAAACGACCTGCAGCAAGCACTTGTTTTCGTGCGCTTTGGTTAAGTTTCGGCCACTTATATCGCGCCGCGATGCCGTTTCTCAAGTGGACCAGACCCCGTCGCGCCGCTGGAAGCTACGCGGATCGCGGCTCGTCTGCTGAGTTAGACGACACTCTACCCGATGTGATTATATCAGTGCCGGTCCCAACCTCCTCGGGGCTGCACCCGGCGCAGCTCGCGTCGTTCCCCGTCAGACCGTATCGCGCTGCTCCCGCTGCAAGCCGCCTCCAACCAGCCGACCACTCCGATGGTGCCGAAAAGCTTCGGGGCGTCGTTGCAGAACGAACCTGCCCGTGTACGAATCGGCGACCATCATCTGCCGTGCGGAAGAACGAATCTACCCCAAAATTCGCTGAAAATTACATCGATAGAGTGGCGATGGGCGGCTCTGAACTTTCGCTGCTGGATGGAGTGTCGCACGCGCGAAATGCGCCGCACGATGCGCGAGATGCTGCGCATGACTTTGCTGGCGAGTGCCACGAGTCGCAGTGCTTAAAACGGGGGCCCGCCGGAGCGTTGGTCGCGAAGGAGTGCACGGTTTGCTTGAGTGACTTTATCGAAAGGGATTTGGTTCGCACTTTGCCCTGCGCGCATCGGTTCCACGTCAGCTGCATCGACCACTGGCTCGCCGACAGGACCACCTGCCCAGTATGCCGGGTAGATTTTTCTACGGCAGCGTCGGATGTGACTGTCAACGACGTGACAACGGAGAGGCAGATGACGGAGGCGATTAACTCTGGTTCGCGATCAGGAGCAGTGTCCCTGTGTGCATGAAACACCACGTGGACGATATGACTATATCAGGCGTCACCACAACCAGCGAAGGTTCAGTTTGGGTGTGACTGGTGCGCATCAAGATCTACAAGAACCTGCCGGACAAACCCTAAGTGTGACTCATGGTGGCGTGACACTACAAGATGGCAAAAACCAAAGGAGGCTCGTTCAGTCTCAAGACAGCAGGCCCTGTGTGACTGTAATGATGGCAAAGGGATGGCTTTCCCAACAAAACCCTGGTCCACCCGCCCAAGCTTCTTCCTTTCCCACAGTCCACCTCTTCGGTGCCTTGTTTTTCCGTTTTCCAGTGCCTGAAAGTTTCAGGTTAGGTTGCGAATATGTCACACAAGCGAGGGTTCCGATTTTTCCATTTCGTTATAGCTAACAGCCTCAGGGTGGTTGCTCTCGGAATGTGCAGATTCATGGGCTTATGTACGATGACTAGTTTTAAAACATTCACTGTTTATTTGCACCTGCTCTTCAGCCCAGAACTGAAGGGAGCACTGATGTATGAGAGTTTCATTTCACTTATTATAGGCAGACGCATCTTTCCAACGCCAGCAAGCTAGACATTCCAAGTTGCTACTCCACCTACCAACCCTTGAAATTTACACCACAGATCAGCCTTGTTGCTCTGCCCCGCTTGAGCAGCCCACATACCTGCACTACATCCCCTCTACCATCCGAACCTCAACACCACCACATCACTCATGTTTGCTGTATCATCCAGACCAATGGACCTGGAATGGCAGTTACCATGAACCACGGTGTTTTACCCTCCAGACCACAGTGTTTTACTCTCCAAAGCACGAATTACACCTCCCAAATTACAGTTTTATAACTTCCGAACCACAAATTTACACCTTACGAACCACGACCACAGGGCAAGCAGCATGATGCACACAGTAGTCGCTCACACTGCCCAGGAACGCCCTGGTAGGGGGGGGAGGGGGGAAGAGGAAGGGGGGGGGAAGGGAAGGGGAAAGGGAGGTTGGGGCAAGCAGCATGATCCACACAGTAGTCGCTCACACTGCCCAGGAACGCCCTGGTAGGGGGAGGAGGGGGTGGGGAGGAGTAATGGAGGTTATGGCATGGCATGGTGCACACATAACAGAGTCGCTCACATGCTGGGAAAGTCCTGCCATGAGAGTTGCATGTAGCATGGAGCGCCCATGAATGCCGCATCACATGGAGCACACATAAATGCCGCATCACATGGAGCACACATGACTGCCGCATCACATGGAGCACACATGAATGCCGCATCACATGGAGCACACATGAATGCCGCATCACATGGAGCACACATGAATGCCGCATCACATGGAGCACACATGAATGCCGCATCACATGGAGCGCCCATGAATGCCGCATCACATGGAGCAGCAGTTGCTCATGCTGCTGACAACTCACATACGTCTTGAACCATTTTCCACGAGAGTTGAAAATTTCACAAACATCGCAACCTTATGGTCAAACATCTCTTCGCTTCAATGCGTTCTGAGATGTTTCACCAAGTGGTTTGAGACCCCATCAGCACGCACCCCATCAGCACGTACCCCATCAACACATTCCCCATCAATACGTACCTCTTGACGGTGCCGTGGCCATGGATTGATGTTGTCAACAGCCACAAATGTTTTGAAGCCCCCTTCAAGACGCACCTCTTGACAGTGCCGTAGCCATGGCTGCCAATCACCAGCAGCTGCATGCCCAACTGCTGGCAACATCAAAAGCACCCACCTTTCAACAATACTGTTGCCTGTCAGATGCTCACCTCTGGGCAGCATCATTGCCTCGAGTGTACATCATAACATGTGCTGAGACCCAGTAGCAACCATGGCCGTAGCCATGGCCATTACGCAACTCTTGACGCCGTCTGGACCGCCATTCGCCATTCATTTCAGGTGAAGATAGCCATGGCTGTCAATCACTTACAGTGCTGCCAGTCTGATGCTCACCTCTTCACGGTACCGTAGCCATGGCTGCCAATCACCAGCAGCTGCACGCCCAGCTGCTCCACGGCATCACAGATGGACTCCCTGGGCTCGCCCTCTATCACGTCCGCCTCGGCTGATACCTGTGAGATGCGGTGGAGAGGGATGGGGAGGGATAGAGATTCACTGGGGGGCATGAATGCTGCACCTCTCCCTGGCCTCAGCTGGTCACTGTAAAACTTTAGTCTCCTCTGCTATAAGCTGTTCTCTTTCTTTCATTCTTTGCATTTCACCTCCTTCTCCCCTCCTCTTCCCCCCCTTCTACCCCCTTCCACCCCCTTCCACCCCCTTCCACCCCCCTTCCCCCCCCCTCTTTTCCCCCTTTCGCACCTTGAACTGCTCGCACATGGCCTTGGCAGCGCGCAGCACCTGGCGACTGACGGCCTCCTCCTGCTTCTTCATCGTCTCCACCACCTCCGGCGGCACGTAGAACCCTGCACCAGCAGCACCAAACCGGGCTGGGGGGAGATTGGTGAGGGACAAGCCAGTGGAGACAAGAGGCGTGTAGCTACTCGAGTCAAGCGGCGCGCAGCACCTGGCGGCTGACAGCCTCCTCCTGCTAAGGGGGCATTTGTGAGTTGCCTTCAACCACACAAGGGGGGTTGGTTGGCTTGCATGGACTAGAGACTGACAGCCTCCTCCTGCTTCTTCATTGTCTCCACCACCTCTCGAAACACGTAAAACCCTGCACCAGTGGAACCGACCCGGGCTAGGGGGGCATTGGTGAGGGAAGGGACTAGCCAGTAGAGGCAAGCGGCGTGCTTCAACTACACACGGGGCTTGCTAGTTGACTTTTGAGTCGACTCAAAAGTCAACATGGGGCTTGCTCTGCTCTGCATGGACCATAGGCTCGCAGCCTCCTCCTGCTTCTTCATCATCTCAACCACCTCCGGCGATATTGACTTTTGAGAATTCTCTAAAGTCACTCGAATGTTGCTTCTTCATCGTCTCCACCACCTCCGACGGCACGCAGAACCCTGCACCAGCGGAACCAAAGCGGGCTGGGGGGGCATTGGTGAGTTACCCTTGAAAGATTCAAAAGGCTTGTTTCGCATGATTGAACCTGCAGCGAAACCCGACACGGCTGGGAGGTGTAATGAGTTGCTTACGTGCACAACGGGCGTGCACAACGGGCGTGCCGTCTTCTAGAGACTGCCAGGTTTGAAACACACGAGGAACCAAGCCTGGCACGTAGAACCCCGAAGGGGACCTAAACCGGGCTGGATTAGATGCTTGCAAAAAAAACAAAAAAACACTCCACGAAGACAGGTTCTGCTTCATTCCACCACGGTAACATTCCAACCCGCAGGAGACGTCTCTCTTGGCAAATATAATCTTCTAGAACCATCTCCCTTTGCTGATTAAAAACATCAACAAATCTCCTCTCTCTGCAATTCTAACCCTCAGCAATCGTTCTGCTGTGCAATTCTGACCCATGTGCGTCGCATGTGAGAGAATCTCGGCTTCAGCTGCAAGTGAGACAGCTCCTAATCCCCCTCCTCCACTTTCCAAAGGTATCGCCAGGCAGAAATAAGGTCTTCTTACCTGGACCCGCGGGTCCTGCGTAAACTTTCGGGTACGGCTGCGCGTGTAGCAGGTGAACCTTGTCCTCCGCTTGTATCACATTCTCGAGAGCCCACTTTAACGCGTACGAGCTCTCGTCGCTCGGGTCCACCGCTACGAGAATCTTCCGCGATTTCTTCAGCGGCGCGCTCTCGTCTCCGGCCGTGGTCCCAACGGTCACCTCGTCCGGCTTCGCGGCAGCAGCGTCGGTCGACATGCTCAGGAGGCTCCTCCTGCGCGTTCGCTTTAGGTATACGTAACAGATGAACGATATTTCGAAAGTGTTGCCGGAGGCGATCGAGAGAAGGTGTTAACGAGCTACAAGGCCTTTCCAATTAGGTGGCTAATTATGAACGTCAGATTCGGTACTAGGCTGAGACAGTTTTTCCACGTCGATGGCGTCAAAGGACAAGCTAAGAAACAAAAGCAAAATTAAGCAGAAAACTTGCAAGAAATCAAGCAGAGGTTAGCTCGTCGATGGGCATGTAATTGAAGGTTGAAGAAGCTAAGAATGAGCAAGAAAAGACAATGCTGGAGAAAGAAACAGGAGGTTCGTGCTCGCCTGCTGTGTTGGAACCTCGAATCCGATTTCTGACAGAAATGGGGAGATGTCTGTCACTATCTTTCCTTGAAACCTTTCCCGACCGTTTTCACGGAATAACAAACCGTAAATTAAAGTTCTTAACCAAGCAAAACAGTTAGCTCATTTGGCACACCCAACGGTACCTGCTGCTGTTCATGTCTTGTTGGCCGCACAGCTCAGCACATGCACAGCTCACACCGACGCTTATCCAGCACATTCGCTTATGTAAGCGCGAAACCCTGGCTGCTTTTACTACAGGTTGACGCAAAATGCTAGATGCGAATTTGGTTACTGGTCAGGTCGTAAGTGCAGAGATGTTGGTGAAACGCAAACACGTGGCCACTCATGACTCGAAAATTCTTGGATCCAACGGAGGCAAGGCGCGAAGCCCACGTGGAGTGAACCGTTGGGGTGTAGACTGAGGCCTTGTTCGGCAGGCGCATCAGAATCTAGGCTCGGGAATGAGCTCTGGTTCGGAAGTGTTGCAACATACCAGATAGTCAGGTTTGGGTCTGGTTCGTGTTTTGTCAATTTGTTGCAGGCTCGCGGAAGGAGTGTGTCACGTGTCCCACGACTGTCTGGTCTGCCCCGAGGGTTGCTGGGTAGGAACTTAACACTCCCAGAGCAAAATCGATGTTACGTGTTCAACCCTAATTTGGTGAAAAGTTTGGCGAATCTTCAATGCTGCCCCGCATCAGTGATGCGCGCATGGATTCCTCTCCACGACGCACCATGCGCGCATGACTGACGCGTCGGTTTGCCAGGGGAGGTTGGTTCCAGGAACAAGGTTTTGGCCCCCAAACCGGGGGCCAAAAAGACCGTTCGGCAGTCAGACTGCTTTGATGCTCATGCGCCTATCCCGAACTATGATAGCCGATCAACCGCTTATCTCGGAAACATCTGGGGTGGTCGTTTTACTGCTTCCCATTCCCGAGCCTGTGCTCATGCGCCTGTCGAACAAGGCCTGAAAGGGGAGTTTCGTGATCGTTATTACTTGGCGAAACACTATTACAGCGGTAAACAAATCCATGTCTAAATCATCATCTATATCCGTTATGGGGATTAACGGCCCCATCACTCACACAATTCTCTCTACCAAGCCACAACGCATCATCAAATAGACTAGTCTGCCAAACAGATGCGAATGGGGCTCAGGTGAAGATAAAGCTTCCGCCAGGAACTACAGAATCCAGCACACACCACTCGCTGGTCAGTCCACCCACATCCATCTGATCCCAAGTGCCATGGCTTCACCAACTATCTGAAACGCCCCCATCACTGCCCAGCACCCTGCTACTGCTCGTATTCCTGGCAAATGTACTGAACCACATCTTTATCCGAAGTTAAAGCCCCTTTCACTGCTCGTACCCCTGCTGCATGTACTGATCCAAGTCCTTATCCAAATCCACTTCCGACACCTTCCCTTCACCACGTCCCCCCCTACCTCCCCTCCCTCGCCCCGCCCCACTTCCGCCTCCCCTCGCCCCCCCTCTTGCAGCCGTCTGCGCTCTGGTTACTGTACCAGGCCTCCCCGCACCTCTAGGTCCCAATCCGAACATGGTCGCCCCAAACGCAGTCCTCGCAGCAGTAGCGCGCGTCCTCACACCCGCCGCCGCAACAACCGCACCCCCACGCCTTCCCGCAACAATTCCCCCCCTGCCAACTCCCGCTGCTCCCCGCCCGCGCGCACCCCTCCCCCTCCCCGCAACTGCGCCCCCGGACCCCACGGCAAAGCGCAGGTTCGGCGGGACCTGAACCCCCTGGTTACCAGGAAACGTCAAGCGAGAGTGAACCGAGCCTGCACCAGTTGCACCCCCCGCAGCTCCTGCCTTCCCCTTCACGGCGCCAGCCCCGCCGGGAAAGGTGAGACGCGACTGTATGGGCGGGGTTGCTGGTACCGCTGCGGCCGCGGCGGGCTTTTTCGCCGATGACGTGGCAGCTGCGGGTTTGCTCCTCGATTTAGACCCGTTCGCTGCAGTGCTGCTGGGGCGGGTGCTCCCGCCTCCCCCTGTTTGCTTTCCGCCTGCACGCGCGGAAGCGGACGGGGGAGCGGAAGGAGCGGCGGCAGAAGATACTTTCCGCTGCGCAGCTAGAGCCGATTGCCGTGCTTCGGCTTGGCGCGCTTTTGCCTCCGCACGACGGACGCTTTGACTGCGCTGGGCGGATAGAGCGCGAAACCGTTCGTCAAGAGTTTTCGTCGTGTCGTTAGGGTTTGCATACGCGGCTTGCGTGGCGAAGGGAGGCTGTGCGACAACGACGCGACGTGCGGGGCCGTGTTGTGCGACTGCCATGCCTGGTGGTGCAGAGAAGTGAGAGAGTGGAACTGCCATCGGCTGTGGCGCGTCGTCAGGGCCATTGCGAACGGTTACGAACATGGCAGCGAGGTTAGAGGCGAAACGCGAGGGAGATTGCGAAGCAGTAATATTATTGCAAAACTCGAGGTGAGGGGAAACACTCAAAACCGATCAGCCTAAACGCAATATGCTGGACACATGAAAGAATAGAACACGTATTCAATGCTCCGCTGAGTAAATCTACTGACGGCCGTTCCTGCTCAAGAGAACGCGAAATTCGAGGAAACTAGGCTCGATGAAGAAGCGGCAAAACCGGAGGCCCAACTGGAGAGCAAGAAACCGGAGCTAGAGGAGTGAAGGGAATGGGAGACCTAAGGAAAAGGAGGACCGATTTTCCCGACATGGAGACGGACGGGAAGGACCCAATCAGACGGATGTAGAGTCCGGTATACTGCGGTGGTAGCTGGTAGCATCCTGATCGTTGCGATTGGCGTTCTTGTTTCAAGTATTACACTTCGTCCGCGTTGGGGTCAGGCGAGGGGTTGGTGGGAGAGTGTTGACGTGGTTCGTTCTGGCGAATTGACGAAAAGCAACGTCGCGATGTGGGATTTCGTGGGGGTCCTCCTTCACAATCAAGCGACGTGATTTCTGGCGTAACCTGAAACATGGTTTTGTAACAACTCTGTTTGCGAACCCTCCACTCTTTCTGTTACAACTGCAGGGAACGCGCGAGACGTGAAAACTTTCGCGCGTTCGAATGTGTCAGAGGACGTCAGAACAACACCGAAACACTGATCAAGCACATCCGCTGCTATCACACAAAACCATCCCCAAGAATCTCTTCCTCGTCTTACAGTTACAGCCCTCCTCGGAGACTGGACTCGGACTGTGTTTCCTGAGCGGAGTCTAGCCGTGTGCTCCTCCAGAAGCTAGTTTGCTCCTCCAGGTTCGCTACAAAAGCGTAGCCGCTACGATTTTGTTCCAAAAAAGCGAAAGCGCTTAGCCTCTGTTTTCGATTCACCAACAGTGTGTGCAGGAGACACGCCGTTAGGTTGTCACTGTCCAACATTTGTTCCATGCGAGCATTTGGTGCTTCAGTCGTCATGCAATCAAGTCCTCGCTAGAACGACCAGACTTGTGCCAGCTTAGGAATGGCCGCATGGGTTTTCATGACGGCCCGAAGGACGTCGCCGGTAGGTCTAACGGCTGGGAGCCTCTAGTCGATTCGCCTTTCGTTAGAGTAATCGGCGAGAACGGATCAGGCAGTGCTCGTTCTTCGACCACACACGCCGGCCATTCAATACAATCACGTTCGTTACAAGGTCATATTCAACACTCGAATCCAACTCCCAGTTACGACAAGTCTTCCAAGGCCGGGTCTTTTGGAGTGATTCGTCGGGTGGGAAGCCGCGATAACCTCGATAAATCCACCACGCCGACAGCATTTATCGCGAATTTGTGTAACCAGAAGGCTTGGTTTGCGAGCTTCGCCAAGGATAGAAAACGTTTCGGAATTGTCGCAGCCATGGTCGCATGGGGTCGCGGTGCGACAGCAGCCGTGTTCGGGATAGGTAGAGGCCGGCATTCCCAAGGTGGACCCGATGGCGGGAAAAGCGGGTTACCACTAACATTTTCGGATAGCGATCGGTGGAAGACGAGCAATGGGTGCGGTTTCGCCGTGCTGGTAACCCGACGATGGGAGTCGCTGCTGGTGTGGGCGAGCAGTGGCGGAATTCGCTGGCTGGTCGCAGGCTTGGCTATCGCTATCATGTTTTCCAAGGCCCTTGCCGTGTGGCTACAGACGGTATGTGACTCTAACGTGATTATACAGAGCGGTTGAAGGCCGAGGGTCTGGAGGGATGAGAGGGAGGTGAGAATGTGATAGTATCCTACATTGAATGTGTTACTACCTGTGCCAATGAGTGCAAATGCGCGTACTATTGTATGCTGCAGTCTTGGTGATGTTGACACGTCTCATTTCCACACTTCTCAGCCCTCCTCCGTTTTTTTCTCCCCCTCAGCTTCTTACTGGTCCATCCCCTTCCCGTACGCCCCCAACTCCCCCCTTGTCGCTTGTTTCGACCCTACCTCCCTGCCACCTCCCCTCGTCTCTCTCTCTCACCTCCTCTCTCCCTCCTCCCCTCCTTCCAATCCCTACTTTCTTTTCCGATCTTCCCTTTCTCCCTCTCCTTCCCTCTCCACCTCAGCTTCTGATCACCCCCCACTGCATCCTTCGGATCTGATGCCACCAACGTCCCTCTCTTTACCGAGATGCCTCGCCTTTGATCACCTAATACCGACCTCTTCCTACCCTCCACTATCTCTTGCCTTACTTTGTTCCCATTCAGCTTCTAATCGGCCCTACTGCTTCGTTTGGGTCAGACACCGCCTACTTTCCCCTCTACTCCGGTCAGGGGTGGCTCGCCTGTGAACCACCTTCAACAACCCTCTCCCTGCCCTACACTCCCTCTTCTCTTCCCTTCTTCTCCCCCTCAGCTGCTGATCGGCCCCACTGCATCCTTTGGATCCGACACCGCCAACTTCCCCCTCTACTCCGAGGTGGCTCGCTGGTATGCCAGTGGAGTCACGGCCGTGCTTGCACTCATGGCCACCAAGGTGGGTTGGTGAGTTGGAGTGAGTGAGTGAGTGAGTGAGTGAGTATGTGTGTGTGTGTGTGTGTGTGTGTGTGTGTGTTGGCATGGCATGGGTGTGAGGCGAGGTAGTTGTAACTCTCATCCGAGGCACTGGTAGGCGAGGTTTGAGTAACTCTCCCCTCTGCTCCGATCCGAGGTGGCTCGCTGGTATGCGAGCTTGGTCACAGCCGTGCTTGCACTGATTGCCACCAAGGTGGGTGAAAGTAATAGGCTTGGTGGCATGTGCATGTGCATGTGCATGTGATGTGCATGTGCATGTGCATGTGCATGTGCATGTGATGTGCATGTGCTTGTGATGTGCATGTGCATGTGCATGTGATGTGCATGTGCATGTGATGTGCATGTGCATGTGATGTGCATGTGCATGTGCACGTGACTGCATGTGCATGTGAGTGCATGTGCACAAAAGTTCCTTCCCCTGAACTCCCCCATCTCATCAGTGCCTAGGTCGCCCCTCTTTCTTGCTCTGAGCCTTTTCAATGCTCCCGTCCTATTCCTTCTGTCATTCCTCCTCCCCCTAATTTATCCTCACTACCAGTCCCGACCCCATCTTCTCTCATCCCACACCCTCATTCTCCCTTTCTCAAACTGCTCCTGGGTCGCCCCATATTGTCTCCCCTCGCTGTCTTCTCCATCCTACCCTTCCCCTCCCTCTTGCCACCCCTGCTTCCCCCCTTCCAACAAGCAGCTCCTGGGCCGCCCCATACTCTCGCCAGTCCCCATCTACTCCTTTGCTGGCGCTGGTGCTGCCATCACCATCACGGCAGTGTGCATCAGAGAGGTACAGTCAGGTTGAAGAGGTGAATCCGAAAGGTGCAGCGTGGCTGAGAATGGTGGATCAGAGATGTGCAGTGCGGTTAAAGAGGTGAATTGGAGAGATATTGTGCGGTTGAGAGAGGTGGATCAGGGAAGTGCAGTACAGTGGAGGGAATGCATAGCTGGCGTGCTGCCAATGCCATAACAACAGTGTGCATCAGAGAGGGTGCAGTGCGGCTAAATGAGGCACATTTGAGGGGTATAGTGCTGCTGAGATGACATTGTTATAGGTTCAATGTACTCCTAAGAGTGATAAGCGGTGCAGAGCAGTTGCGATAAGTGTATGTGTTGTTGAGAAATGGCACATGGGCAGGTGTTAGTAGGTAACCCTTTGACTACCCGTGCGTGATGAGACGATTTTTTAGTCGACTAAAAAAAACAATGGTTGGAGATCATCTTTGCCATCAATGGTTGGAGATCATCTTTGCCATCGATGGTTGGAGACCATCTTTGCGATCGATGGTTGGAGATCATCTTTGCCATCGATGGTTGGAGATCATCTTTGCCATCGATGGTTGGAGATCATCTTTGCCATCGATGGTTGGAGATCATCTTTGCCATCGATGGTTGGAGATCATCTTTGCCATCGATGGTTGTAGATGATCTTTGCCATCGATGGTTGGAGATCATCTTTGCCATCGATGGTTGGAGATCATCTTTGCCATCGATGGTTGAAGATCATCTTTGCCATCGATACACTTCAACAAGCTGACACATCGATGGTACCTGACACACATCAGTCCATCAGTGCGTGTTGATCGCCAACCTGACACCCCATTGCATTCGCAGGTTGTGAGAATTCTCAGTGAAAAGCCCAGATTCACTTGAGTGCATCAGTGCAGTGCAGTGTGATTTGATTTGATGTGATGTGATGTGATGTGATTTGATGTGATGTGATGTGATGTGATGTGATGTGATGTGATGTGATGTGATGTGATGTGATGTGATGTGATGTGATGTGATGTGATGTGATGTGATGTGATGTGATGTGATCCCCTCATGGCAGCTCAATGGGCGTATGGGCAATCAAGGACCCACCTGCATGGTCCGCATGGCCTTATCATGCATGTGACATGTCAATCCTCTCACACATGTTGTTTCCCTTCCCCACGCCTTTTACCCCTGTGCATGCTGATCCCCCCATGGCAGCTCAACGGGCGCATTGGCATTGGAGCCACCTGCATGGTCTATGCCCTGTGCACTCTCTCACTGCTTGTGAGTCCCTTCCTTTTCCTCGCGTGCAAGCCCATCTGTCTTTGCTTTGACACGTCTCAAACCCTGCATGGTCTACGCCCTCTGCGCTCTCTCGCTGCTTGTAAGTCCCTTCTTCTCCTAATCGTGCAAGCAAGCCCATTCCCCTCCCAATAATCTCTCGGTACACGCGTCTACTCACCTCACAGGGTCTAAGCTGCCTGCTGCAGCCTAAATGGGCATCGCCTCAAGCTATTGCTAGAGCGTTCAGTGCTTGCTTAGGGTGCACATCAGCCACAGGGCACGTCAATCCTGGCATTCAGCTCATTTTCTTTCACAGCTCTGGCAGTCGGTACTGAGTGGGGCGCCCATGCTGGTGGGCTCCTGCAGCGGCGCATGCCCTCTCCAGTGGCAGCAGTGGCGTGGCGGCGAGTGCACACTCCAATAGCCCAGCTCCTCCCTGTTGTGCCCACAATCTCCTCTCTTACTTAACCTCTCGCAGCTCTGGCAGTCGATACTGAGTGGGGCGCCCATGCTCGTGGGCTCCTGCAGCGGATCCTCCCCCGTGGCAGCGGTGGCGTGGCGGCGAATGCACTCGCTGCGTCTGCTGGGATGTCTGCTCGCCTGCCTGGTCGCCTACAGCTGCTGGGTGGGTGTGAGGGAGTGCGTGAATGAGGGAGTGAGTGAGGGAGGGTGTGGGGGAGTGAGGCTGGGCTTTTGTCAACCCTTGTCTCACATGCTCCACCCCACTGCTTCCCTGTGTGATTGTGCCTGCCCCACCAGCTCTGGTTCCCACCGGCCTCTGAGGCAGCGCGGGTGCTACTGCCCTCTGCCACGCCGCTTTACCTCTGGCCGCCTGCCAGCATGGGGGTGCGCTACTGGTGGTGGATCGGGCCCCTCGCCGTGCCCATATTCGCGTTTCTCCTGTTCTGGTACGTGCTGCCGCCACTGTTGCCGGTACCTCCAAACGCGGCTGCCTGCCTGCCAGCAAGGGTGTGCGCTACTGGTGGTGGATTGGTCCGCTTGCCGTGCCCATATTCGCGTTCCTCTTATTCTGGTAAGGGTCGGGCATGCCCACCTCTCCGTTTCCCCTCTTCTGGTGTGTGCAACTCTAGACTGTGCTGGCCCGTCAGCATAAGCAGCTAGCTGTTCCCATTTTTGCCACGCGCTGCCACGCCACTCTACCTCTGGCTGCCCTGCACTGGTGGCCCTGCACTGGTGGCCCTGCACTGGTGCATCTGCCTCCGTCACAACCTCCTCCCTACACTCTCATTTTCCCACCTCCCCTTCCACCGTCAAGCACCCCTCTTGCCTTTACACCTACCGCTTTCCACGCTCTCTCCTGCAGCGGGAGTGGCCAGGCAGTCCCGCTGCAGGAGCGCATCTATGTGCATGCGATTGCACTATTGACGAATTCTCAAGAGGGTGGGCTGGCTCGACCACAACGCAACTGCCTCGCTTTTGAGAATTCTCAACGAGCAATTCCCAAATGGCTGCAGGATGACTGCATTCTGCATTCTCAAAGAGCACCTATGTGCGCACGAATGCAGAATGACTGCCTGTCACCTCGACAGACGCCTTATGCATCGGATCCGAGTTTTGAGACGTCTCAAAGCTATCACTGCAGGAGCGCACCGCACCTATTTGCATGCGAATGCACTACGACAGTCCTGTCACATCGATGGGCGCATTCTGCATCCCCTGTCCCCAGCCAACCCTCTTTCTCCCTGTCAGTCCCCTCTCCTGCAGCTCGGACGGCCTAGCACTGGGCTGCAAGAGAGAGTCTCCGTGCAGACCTGCAGTCCTCCTGCGGCCTAGCAGTGGGCCTAGCAGTACGACCTACCTGCTAGCCCGCTCTGCTCCTCCGTCCTCCCCCCATTCTTCTCGTCCCTCTCTCCCCCAGCCCTGCCAAGCTAGCAGGGGCACTGCAGGAGCGAGTCTCTCTACCTGCACTGCGACCTGCCAGTCACCTGCTTCCACCTTATGCAGTCCCTCTACTCCCCCTAACCCCCCCATCTCTTTCCCCCAACCTGCAGCTCTGACGGCCTAGCTGTGGCGCTGCAAGAGGGAGTCTACGTGCAGTACCACCCAACTGCAGTACCACCTACCTGCAGTACCACCTAACTGCAGTACCACCTACCTGCAGTACTACCTAACTGCAGTACCACCTACCTGCAGTACCACCTACCTGCAGTACCACCTACCTGCAGTACCACCTACCTGCAGTACCACCTACCTGCAGTACCACCTAACTGCAGTACCACCTACCTGCAGTACCACCTACCTGCAGTACCACCTACCTGCAGTACCACCTACCTGCAGTACCACCTACCTGCAGTACCACCTACCTGCAGTACCACCTAACTGCAGTACCACCTACCTGCAGTACCACCTACCTGCAGTACCACCTACCTGCAGTACCACCTAACTGCAGTACCACCTACCTGCAGTACCACCTACCTGCAGTACCACCTACCTGCAGTACCACCTGCTATTCACCGGCAGCCACTTGTGCAATCCCTCTCCTCTGCCACATCTTCTTCTTTCCCTCTCTCTCCCCCCCTGCAGCTCTGACATCCTGGCAGTGGCGCTGCAAGAACGAGTCTACCTGCAGTTTGGCCTGCCAGTCACCTCCCTGGTGCACTACGTCTCCGCCTTATGCTCCGTCTTCCACCACCCCTCGCACCACTCCCTTCCCTCCTTGCAGCTCTGACGGCCTAGCAGTGGCACTGCAAGAGCGAGTCTATCTACAATACGACCTGCCAGTCACCTCGCTCGTGCTCTACGTGTCCACATCTGCCTTGTTTGTTGACTTCTGGGGTAAGCACGTAACCTGCATTCACCTGCTAGTTGACTGACATTAGAGCTTGCCGCTATCGACCTGCCACTCACCTTGCTCGTGCTCTATCTGTCCACAACCACCTTGTTTGTTGACTTTTGGGGTAAGCACGTAACCCCACTTCCTCGTTGCGTAAAATGTGTTCAGAGTAGACTCAGTACGACCTGCTAGTCACATCACTGGTGCTCTACGTGTCCACATCCGCCTTGTTTGTTGACTTCTGGGGTAAGGAAGCACGTAACATGCATTCACCTACCAGTCAGCATTAGAGCTTGCCGCTATCTACCTGCCAGTCACCTCGCTGGTGCTCTATGTGTCCACATCCGCCTTGTTTGTTGACTTCTGGGGTAAGTACCTCTGCTTCCTCGTTGCGTACATTACCCGTGTTTTTGGTCAGCATTCCCGTCAATCTATCTGCACCCATCCTTCGTCCAACCCTTCCACCCGAACGTTTTTCCAACCCTAAATGGCAGCTTTTCTCTCAAAATACTTTCGGCATGGCCGCAACCCCGACCCCCTGTATGCACCATCTCCCACATGCCCCAAACCCCTCCTTCCACCACCCCCCCCCCCCATGCCAGCGTTTGCCTTGCGCGACCACTTGGACCGCGCCTTTGGCTTCGTGTTTGACTGCCCGCACTGAATCTAGATGCCAGCACTTACCAACCCTCTTGAACACCCCCCCCACGTGCGCCAACCCTCATACACCAGCGTTTGCCTTCAGCGATCACTTCGACCGCGCATTTGGCGTCGTGTTTGACTGCCCGCACCAACCCTCCCATGCCAGCATCTACCAAACCACTTTACCACCCCCCTCCCCACATGCGCCAACCCTCATACACCAGCGTTTGCCTTCAGTGACCACTTCGACCGCGCCTTTGGCTTCGTCTTTGACTGCCCGCAGTGCCTGCTGTACCTCGTGCTCGCATCCGTGGTACGTGTGTGTACGTGCTGGTATGTGTACATGTGTACGTGCTGGTATGTGTACATGTGCACGTGCTGGTATGTGTACATGTGTACGTGCTGGTATGTGTACATGTGCACGTGCTGGTATGTGTACATGTGTACGTGCTGGTATGTGTGCATGTGCACGTGCTGGTATGTGTACATGTGTACGTGCTGGTATGTGTACATGTGCACGTGCTGGTATGTGTACATGTGCACGTGGTGGTATGTGTACATGTGCACGTGCTGGTATGTGTACATGTGTACGTGCTGGTATGTGTACATGTGCACGTGCTGGTATGTGTACATGTGTACGTGCTGGTATGTGTACATGTGCACGTGTGGCTGTGCATGAGTGTGTGGTAGCGCCTTAGGTTTCCTCCCTGACTGCCCGCAGTGCCTGCTGTACCTTGTGCTCGCCTCTGTGGTACGTATGTGTGACCCGCACATGCTGATGTGAAACACATACCGCACATACCGCACACATATCACATACACAACAGATACCACACACATGACACATCACACACATCCCTTCACCTTCCCTCCATCCTTTCACCTTCCCTCCGTCCCTGCACCCTCTCTTCATCCCTCCATCCCTTCAGTGTTTCAAACCCTTCAGTGTTTCAAACCCTTCAGTGTTTCAACCCCTTCAGTGTTTCAACCCCTTCAGTGTTTCAACCCCTTCAGTGTTTCAAACCCTTCAGAGTTTCAATCCCTTCAGTGTTTCAATCCCTATCTATGGCCACAGCATGACCCACCCTCGTCCCCTTTCCCTCATATCACTCTCCCTGTCTCATCGCCTAACCTCACCTTCCCCTATTAATAAATGCACCCCTTGCTGATGCCCCTTCCACCCCCCTCCCTCTCTCCCTTACCTCCGCCCTCCCCTCTCTCATTCCTTTCCTCCCGGCCCCCCCCCCTCCAACTGCAGCCATCGACGCTGGCAGCCTGTCTAACAGCGTCCCAGCTGTTGAGAGTCCCGGTCTGTCAAACATACCCCTCCGCTTTCTCACTCCTTCTCCTCCTCCCGCCCTTCCTCTCTGCCCCCTCCCACGGCAGCCATCAGCGCTGGCAACCTTCCTCACGGCGCTGCTGCTGAGAGTCTCAGGCGGGCTCGTCTCCTCTCTCGTCTTGCGGGTGAGCCCCCGCCCCTCTGCTTCTCGCCCTCGGCTCCTCCTCTCCTCTCCATTGCCTGCCCCCTCTCTCTTGAAGGAGGCCCTGAAACTGATTGGTGCTGCTGAGAGTCTTCGGCGGGCTGGTCCCTTGTCTCGCCTGGCGGGCGGGTGAGCCATCCACCATCACATGGAAACGCCGCATATGTGCAATGAAGTCACTTGTGACTTGGCGTAGCAACGACTGCTGCCAAAAGAGGAAAGTGTGGGGTGTTTAGCTTCCTAGTCTCTCCTCTCTTGCCTTGCAGGTGAGTTTCCCATCACCACTGCTTTTGCACCCCCCTTCTTTGTTTCTGTAACTCAAGCAACACTTCCCGAGTCCCTTACTTCCCTAGTCTTCTTTGTTTGCCCCTACCGTCCCTCGCTTTCCTATCCTTCCTCTACATCCCTCACTTGCCACACGCCGTCCCTGAGTGCAAACCATCACGATCCCCATTTTCTTCCCTCTGGACCTTGGCCCATGCTTTAGCTTTCTCTCTCTGCTCCATTCCCTCCCTCCCTCCTCCCTCCCTCCCTCTCTTCTCCCTTCCCTCCCTCCCTCCTCCCTTCCCTCCCTCCCTCTCTCCTCCCTTCCCTCACTCCCTCCTCCCTTCCCTCCCTCCCTCCTCCCTTCCCTCCCTCTCTCCTCCCTTCCCTCCCTCCCTCCTCCCTTCCCCCCCTCCCTCCTCCCTTCCCTCCCGCACTCCTCCCTTCCCTCCCTCCCTCCTCCCTTCCCTCCCTCCCTCCTCCCTTCCCTCCCTCCCTCCTCCCTTCCCTCCCGCACTCCTCCCTTCCCTCCCTCCCTCCTCCCTTCCCTCCCTCCCTCCTCCCTTCCCTCCCTCCCTCCTCCCTTCCCTCCCTCTCTGGCCCCATCCGTCCCTCTCTGCCCCATGCAGGTCGTCATGATCCTCCTTCTCTTCCCTCTGGACCCCTTTGCACCGCTCTGGAAAGTGCCTCAAATTCTTACAGGCGTGGTAAGCACGATACGCCCTCTACCATCGTCACCATCTCTATCATCCTCCCAACCCCTCTACCATCCTCCTAACCACTCTACCATAACGCTCTGCATCTGAAATGGGTTCCTCCCAGCTCATTGGTATGAGAAGTGTTTTTCCGCTGGCCTTGTGGTGAGGCTCATTGTTCCTCATGAGCTGCGCTGCACATACGTCCAACCCTCTCAAAGCACTTGCCACCCAATCTGTTGCTCCAATTCTGAATTGACACAGCATGAACTCGGTAGTGAACGCCAGCACTTCCCCTCTCTCGGCATGTTGCATTATTAACAGATGACTGTCCCGTTTGTTTCCCAACATGCTGCGCTCCTCCTCCTGCCTCCTGCTCTTGCCTCCTCCTCCTGCCTCCTTCTCCTGCCTCCTCCTCCTCCTCCTCCTCCTCCTCCTCCTCCTCCTCCTCCTCCTCCTCCTCCTCCTCCTCCTCCTCCTCCTCCTCTCCTCCTCCTCCACCCCACTTACAACCATTCTCTCCTCCCTATTCACAATCAACCCCATCCCCGCTTTCAGGGTGTAAGGTGGCGACTTCTCCCTCCCCGTCCCCTTTTCAGAGTATAATGGTGGTGGCAATGTGCCTCTCCTAACAACCTAGGCCCCCCACATTCCCACTTGCCCCTCCTCATCATCTCTACCCCTTACGCCACCCCTCTTCAAGGCATAATGACGGTCATGCTCTCCCCTCAGAAACGGCATCCCTCACTTTCTCGCATCCCCTGAATCATCTCAACACACTTTCTCTTTTCCACCCATTTACTCTCCACAATCTCCCTTTCCGATCCCTCTTCTTCAGGGCAAAATGGTGACCATGCTCTCTCTTTCTGACTGACGTCCCTCACTTTCTCACTAGCCCCTGCTCATCTCACACCCTTTCTTACTTGTCTCCTCCCACCACAATCATCCGTCTCCCTCTTCCCCTTTAACAGGGTATAATGGTGACGTTCCTCACTTGCTCTCTCTTGTTAACTAACGTTGCTCACTTTCTCATTGCCCCCCTGCTCATCTCTGCACCCCACTCCCTCTCTCCCTCTTTCCATCAGGGCATAACGGTGGCAATGGTCGCTCTCTTAATAACTGACGTCCCTCACTTGCTCTCCTCCTCCTCCTCTTCCTCCTCCTCTTCCTCCTCCTCGTCAACCATCCTCACATCCTCCACGGCTGTTCTGCCGGTTAGTAGTGGAGGTGGCGGATCAGGGTCGGCGGTTACCAGTCCTGGCAAAGGCAGTAATGTGGTTACCATCGAGGCTCCCGATGAGTGAGCTGCTCTGCTGCGCTGCTGCTCCTCCTCCTGCGCCCCTGGCGGTGGGGGGTTGTCGGATCAGTGTCGGCGGTTACCAGTCCTGGCAAGGGCAGTAATACGGTTACCATCGAAGCCCCCGACGAGTGAGCTGCCCTGCTGCTGCTGCTGCTGCTGCTAGTCCTGATGATTCTGCTGGTGGTGGGGTTGTGGTTTGGTCTGTTGCCTGCTGTTGCTGCATGATCTTACCTTACCTGATCTCTCGGTGCAGTTTTAGCTGCCGGCTAGATGATATCATGGTGCCTAACCCTTGTGGCTCGTACTTAATTGATGGGTTTTAAGTTGCACCCATTTACGCTATTAAAATGTTAATTTTATCTAGGGCAATGATGTTTCACGTCACCTGAGAGGAGTTGTGATCACGCCGAATTACAAAAACTAAAACTGCTTGACCCCGGTATAGTTACTGCACACACAGTATCCTGCAATATGTTGGTTCGTGCCTTCAATGTTCAGAGCGCAAAATGAGCTGGTTGAAACAGGATTGATTTGAATTAAACGATTTGAGAAGATTGCTCATAGCCAAAAGGTGTACTTGAAGCTGGTTGATTCAAGTATTGCACAGCTGTGTTGCTGACGTGCTGACTCTCGAGGCGCTAGCGCTTCGATATCAATCATCTGACGTCAGCTGGGCCAGCCGCGCCGTCGCTTGTACATCTTGGTGGTGAGGTGAGGTGGTGGTGACCCAAGTAGGGAAAGGGAGAAAGGACGTGGCGGCCAACACTCGCTGGCCACGATTTCCGCTCCCAATGTCAACCCGTTTGCCACCTCAGCAAGTTAAAGTCGCGATTCGCAATTTCACAAATTCACAATTGGCACAAAAATATGCTTCCGAAGTGCGAGCAAAACCTCGTTGGCAATGGCGTTTCCAGCTTTCACCGTGTATGTTTTCTCGTCGAGTTGTTGTGACGCGAGTTCGGCTGATTTGGGAATGTCGTCCAAGCCTGAACAACGCAGCAAGAGGGCATTTTTTCCTGAACGACCGGAAAATGGCAATTCTGGCGGAGCCGCTAGTGGCCCTTTCACCTTTCAAATGCGCCTGTCGCAAACTAGACAGCACTAGAAGTCCGACCCGCAGGTCTTACCTTCCCTGCACCTCACTATTGCCAGCTTCGCAAGCATCGCGCCGCCACTCGAACCATGGAAGCGCTCGTGTGTTAGATATAAAGCAAAATATCAGCGGCGATAGATATATCGTTCTCCTGACAAGGGTTTCCAGCAACAATACATAGATAGTCTCACTGCAGTGCCTGAGACAGGACTCAATCATCGACTCTAAAAAATTTATAGATTATATATTTTCGTAGTTCGTGTATAGCAGCGACAATGACTCTCCTCTCGCTCGTCGTCCTCGTCTCACTTTATGCCTCCGCCGCAATTCCCCCCTCCAGCGCCGTCCCTCTGCTCCCCTCGCAAGAGAAAGCGCTACTCTCCTTGGAAACCGCGTGGGGAAGCTGCACAGTAACTAACACATGGGTCGCCGGCACTGACTGCTCGAAATGGTCTGGCGTCGTCTGTAACGACGGCGGGATGGTCACCCAGGTCTACATCAGCGATTACTCGTGCACCGGCGCGTTGACGGAATCCGTCGGAAATCTGACGGAGGTGACGCTGCTCGACTTTTCCAATAATTGGCGCATCGGAGGAAGCTTACCCAAAAGCCTCGCGAAACTCCAGAAGCTCGAATCGCTCAGCATTCGCGACAATATCCATGGGAGCCTCTCGGGAGGCCTTCCGGATTTCCTCGGGAAACTCGCGCGGCTCACGTACCTGGGGCTCCGCGGAACGGGGCTTACGGGGAGCATTCCGCGCGGGCTTGCGCGGCTGAACCGCCTCGAGTTCCTCGACCTGCAATGGAATCGTCTCGACGGCGGAATCCCCCCGGAATTGTCCAGCATGGCGGCGCTCAGCGTGCTTGACTTGGGCGGAAATAGGTTGACCGGGTCGATTCCACCGACCCTCGCGAAAATCAAGGGCCTGAAGCGGCTGATTCTCGGGAATAACAAACTCTCGGGTGAACTCCCCGTGTCCGTTATACTCGCTATAAAGAGCCTCGAGGAGGTGGATCTGCGCAGCAATCGGTTCACTGGTTCGTCTATCGGCGCCCTTGCTGCCCATTCGGCTCTGGCGGACATAAACCTTAGTTGGAATCTTCTTACGGGCAGGATTCCGTCCAAGTTCGGGCAGATGAAAAAGCTGGCGAGTCTGCGATTGGCTGGGAATAGGTTCAAGGGAACAGTCCCTGCGGCTCTGTTGAAAGACATGCCAAACCTGCATACCTTGGATCTTTCCTTCAACAGGCTAGGAGGGGAGTTTCCCTGGGCGAACTTGAAAACCACCCCGGTTATCGAACATCTTTACCTCCAGCGCAACGCGTTTGTGGGCGCGATTCCTGCAGACGCGTTTCAGAAGGTCCACGTGGCAAGTTTCAACATCTCCTTCAATCTCTTCTCCGGGCCCATGCCGAATCTAGGGTTCATGGGTGGAGAAGAGGAGCCGCCGGTAGACGTGCGCGGGAACTATTTCTGGGGCAGCCCGGAGTTCATAATGTCCAACCGGAAGGTCTGCCCGGAGGAGGGGCAGGAGGATCCCGACTCAGGTGACGACGAGTATCTTGCGGCGCTGAATTGCCTCGGAAAGAGCGCCACGTGTAACATGAAACAGCAGCGGAGCGCGGCGGCGTGCAGTTGGTTTTGCGGCACGAGTGCGACAAATGGGCCGTGCTCGGGACATGGTGTGTGCGTTCCAGCAGGAAAGGAGCAGTTCAAGTGCAGGTGTGCAAGTGGGTACAAATCGGTGCAGGGAAAGCCGCACGAGTGCGTCAAGGCATGAATACACCAGTGATTTCCTCTACTAATAAGGCCTGTGCGTGTGCGCGATTCTCGCCTAGGAGCGTGAAGCAGGCAATTATGCGGTTCGTGAAATATGTGCTTGTCCGGTGTAAATATGCCAGTTGACAATATTATTCCCCTAAAACTGCTGCATGGCCGAGTGCTCTAAAGCAGTTTCGTGTGCTCACAGAGATTAATTCAAACATGCGCATCCAAACTGTCACAGACTGCATGTTATGAATCAACTTGCAGAGTGCGCAGTAAAACGAATAACGAGAATGGAAATTACTGAATTACTGAATGAAGAAACAATGAAGTAGGGAGGCCTAAATAGGGGACAAGCTAGCTAGGCGGTGGGTTCGGGATGGGATGGCTCGGTGATGGTTGCGATTGGAGCGGAAGCCGACTCGGGGGTGATTCGGTGCGACGAAATAGGCAAGACAGGTTCGTCGCGTGACCCTCGGGATTGCCTCGCTAACGAGTGCCTCAGTAAGGATTTGTAAATCCTTACACTGCATGGTTGGATGATTATCGCAGAGTGTCATCAAGCTTATACCGGTAGGTTTAAACTCTGGTATATTGGAGTATACAGTGCTTTTGACATAGAGAAGCAACACTTTATTAGGTGCTGTAAATGGCACCAAGTGTATGGTAATCCTAAACTATGGGCTAAAGGGAGAGCGGGAGGGGAAGGTGGGGGTGGAGACGGGGGAGGGGTTCTACTTGCAAACGTTGGGGGAAATAGAAGCTAGGGTTTCAGCACTTGGTTGGTGCAGGCTTGCAGGAGAAATCCACAGTTGTGGAACCACTGCACATGATAGGAGAGAGAAAGAGGGAGTAAGGGAGATATTTCAGACAAGAGAGGGTTTTCAAAGCACTACCTGTCATATACCCCAAAGGCTGAAGAAGGCACTAAAAGAAGGCTGTCGATAAGAATTTGAAATGCGGTTCAGTAGGCTTGTTGCGACTTACTAGTTATCCTTGTGGTCGTCAATGGTGCGTGATCCGCTGCCGGAGTATGCCCATATAATCTTGTTCTTTCCCTTGTACACCACCGTCGCTATGCCTTCCCCATCTGCCTTGCTTCGGCCAAATCTGCAGAGGCAAATAAGACGTTATGTGAGGAAGACACCTCCTGGGTACTAGAAACAGTGAGGTTGGAATGGAAGTCAGCGGCCCACATTCCCTCAACATGCTCACATTCTCAGTTCTCACAAATTCGCACGCTCATTCGTTATCCTCACACCCCATCCCTCATACTAACGTACTTCATAACGACGCCACTTGATGACGTCAGCAGCTCTGGCTGCCCAATGGCGAACCGCGAAGTGACTGAGATCTTGCTCGCACTGTACCCTGATACAGCGTAACTCGCTACAGGCAACAGGCCTTTCACGTTCCCAATAACGGCGTCCGAAGGGACCATAGAGCTGGATCCAGACCATCCCACGCTAAACCACCCCTTCTCCGCCCCGCTGCCTGTTTTCGCCTCAACCGCCAGAGCTACACTCGTATCAGAGGTCACCTTCCAATGAAGAAGCAGTCTGTAACGGGGACAGGGCAGAAGTGTATATGGAAAGATAAGGCATGAGGACGATTGTAGCTTTTGTGGCTCCTGTTTATCGAATGTAAAAAGGAGCGAAGGAGGAATCGTCATATATAAACTTACCCTTTGCCATTTAAGTCGACATAGGAAGTGTAGCCAGCCAGAGTCGACGCCTTGCAAGAGCTGCTGCTACTACCGGAGGTGCTCTTACAGGGGGTGCTCACGGGGTTCATCACATCAGTCGGAGGCGGGGGCGAGGGCGAGGGCGGGGGCGGGGACGGCTTGGGGGACTTTGGGGGAGATTTCGGAGATTTGGGGGGAGATTTGGATTTGGATGGAGATTTGGATTTGGGGGGGGAAGGGGATTTGGCGGGGGAAGGGGTTGTAGTGGCGGAGGGCGCTTTGGAGGGGGAGGCGGGCGCGGCGGAATCAGAGGCGGAAGCGGATCCAGGCTTGCAGGAGAAATCGACAAGGACCCATCCCCTGAGATAGGAAGGGGCGGCAGGGCGGGGTGGGCGAAGAAGGGGGAGGGGGCGGAAGAAGGGGAGAGGGGAGAAAACGGGGAGAGGGGGGCGGGGGTTGGGGGATTTTTAAAGGGCAAGATGCGATAGGGCTCGCGTAAAAACATCTTGACGATTTTGAACTGGATTGAAAGTAGATACGATAACATAATATTTCTTGCCGTTTTGGGCGAGTTGTTACCTCTTGCCGGCGTGGCCCTTGACCTCCTGGCTTCCCTTGGGCGCGTACGCGAAGATGATCTGATTCGGGCCGTTGTAATTGACGGGCACGATTCCGTCGAACTTGCTCCGAGTGAACCTGAGCCGACGGCAGGGCCATATCATGGGAAACATAAAAAAATTGGTACGCAATAAAAGCATAATCGTGTTCGGCTGTGTAACGCGACTGCAGAAGCGGGGCTATCTGTGAGTCTGATACTTGCCAGATGCATGAGAGATACGTTATTACAGAATTCTTATTACGAAGGAATACCAGCATAGACTGAAGTTTGGTCGGATTCTGGGGGAGCAACTGAGCCCACCTCACGAGAACACCAGCGCTGGTATTGGACGTGAATTCCGTGTTCGTTATAGCAAACCTCGACGTTGGCTTCACTCCCGACTCCTCCCGCTTCGACAACGCGAATGTGCCCACTGGCGGTGTTTCGTCGTCTTCGTCGGATTTGAAATTCATTATAACGGCATCCGCGGGGTACATTAGGCCGGACTTGGACCAGCCTATGGCGAACCAGCCCCTCGCAACACCGCTGCCGGTCTTGGCCTCGACGGCAATATCGATGCTCTGACGGCTTGTCACCTTCCAGTGAAGGTTGAACCTGAAAACAAATATCAAGGGACAGAGTTAGTTTCTGATGCACCCGCCTCACAGGCGTAAGCTCTCCCCTCGTACGTACTTCCAGTTCTCTGGCGTTGCGATACTTCTCTCTCTTCTTCGGGCCAATATTTCAGGCTATTGAAGCAAAATACGGCTATTAAGTTCCGTTAAACGACTTCATTTCTTACCCCATTCTGTTGAATCCGATCGATGACGTGTACCCACTCAGCGTGGATGCGCGGCACGGGGCGACCACCGCCAAGCTCCTCTGGTTGCCTCGGATTAGAGTGGCTGTTACGTCACCGTGTACGCTTGCTGGCGCAGCATCTACGAACGCTGGTAACATCAGGAAGAGAAGGATAGCGGAACACCGGAGTGCCATAGTTCTAATATGGTTGAGCAAAATGTGGGGCTGTTTGCAAAACTGCGCTAGGCGCTTAATCACGGGCCTTAATCACAAACAGCTTTTCGTCCTTTCGTCTGCGCACACTTCTGTAATTAAAATTATGAAGTGGTATTTGGAGGTATAAAGAAACGTGGGACTATCACTACTCTCAGAATGAGGAGCTCTTCGAAGCAAAGACTTCCATGTGGAATACAGAGGCTCTTCTTGTTGGCAAAAAGGCAAATCCCGCTCTTGTGCCAGCATGATCGAACCCAAATTGGAATGTTTCCCTCCCCCGATCGCCATAAATTAAATCGCGCCTCGTTGACGCGGCTTGTGGATTTGCGCGGCTTGTATGCTGCTCAGTTGGCCCGCGGTATTTATCGTTCAACAATCCAAAATTTCAGCACCTCGTAACATCCGTAAGTTAATTTTCATTTTTACGAAGAAGGTTATATCATGGAAGGCAAAGTGCTAGTTTCCTGCGAAACCTTGGAGAATGTTATTGAAGTTTTTTCGCAAACGATCAGCACAATGAACGTGGACGAGTCGAGTGCCCGACACGCGCCGAGGTTGTAATCTGGCGGGAAAACATTCCTCCTCTATTAGCCCTACAACAGGAAGGTATGTGCCCATAGGACAAAGTAAGCTTATCGGATATCTAGTTCTCAGACAGTATTGGCCATTTAGCTGAGATTCCCTTTTATTTCATAGATGCAGCAGCAGCAGCAGCAGCAGCAGCAGCACGAGCATTACATATTATTATAGCTCTAACATTTACTGGTATCCTAGACTGCATCTAGAACAAAAAATCACCATTGATATGCTCCCGTAGCTGGACCGGCCTTTTTCAGACTGCACCATTCTCCATAGAGGACCTGTCAGTGAACGTGCTAGTGATATATTAGTGTAGTGACTGATGTCACATGAGCTTCTGGTTGCTTCCTTGCTGCTCTTGCTGCTACTGCTGCTGCTGCTGCTTCCATTGCCACTGCAAGTCAGCCTGGTGGTTAGACAACGACCAGAAAGAATTGAGCAGCTTATTTCCTCCCTTGTTGGCTTCGTTCCTCCAGCCATGCATCAAGATGCAGGTGCCTTCTCTTCATGTGCCTTCTTGCTGATTGGTTGGTGCACTAGTCAACCTCATGCACCCACGTGGGTACACAAATGAGGGACTCGCACAGTCGAAGCCACGGCGGCTTTAGCTGATGAATCCACGGTTAAAACTTATGAATGCAATCGTCGTTGGGGGTCAGCGGCAAGCTGCCTTGAGGCGAGTGATGAACTCCCGCTGCTTGCCGTCGCTGCGGTGAGGATTATTGAGAAGGAATGTGGAGGGAATAGAGGGTGAGGGGAGGGATACGTTGCTATGCAACAAATCACAAGGGAGAAGTAGAGAAGGGGAACAAGGTAGTGCAGACGAGGTGTGCTTGCGATGTGCGTGTTTTGTGTGTGCCATTAATACCTGAAGAGTATTTGCGCGTGGTGGTAGCCGTCATTGTACATCACATCGACTGGTGTGTTGGCCAGGTAGCTGCAGGGGAAGGTGGAGGAGGGAGAGGAGAGAGGAAGAAGATGGGCCAAGGCAGCAATCAAGACAAGGTGTCGCAATCCACATCACATTTGGTGCAGCAACCCCAACCCCAACTGATATTAACACCACAAAACCCACTCCCCACACCACTCCCCCGCTCCACTGCTAGGCTCACTCACTTTCTAATGTGCTCCGAGGGAACGATCTGGTCCTGGCCTGCCAGCATCACCACCGAGCGATGCACGGGAATATCGTCCGCCCACACCTGGTATGCGTGCCTGCATAGAGAGGGAGGCCAAGAGAGGGGAGGGCAGAGGGGCAGTGGAAAGGGATGAGTGGAAAGGAGTAGGTAGAGATGCACGGGAATATCACCTGCCCACACCTGGTAGGCGTTCCCCTGGAGAGGGGTTGAAGAGAAGGGGAGAGAAGAGAAGGTGTGAGAGGGCGTGAATGGGGTGATTAGAAGGTGCTATATAATGCAGGGTATGTCGCCCTCCCACGCCTGGTAGGCATGCCTGCGAACTGAGGACGAAGGCAAAGGGGGAAGAGGGCAGATGCAGATCTCACCAGTTGGAACCACCAGCACCACCAGCGTCAGGTACCACCTACCCAAGCTAACATCCAAAACGTAGCAGGGAATGGTTTCACCAGTTGGTTTGAATACCAACTGCCCCGGATTACACCCAAAGCAAAAAGCAGTAAGTCACTCTGTCTCATTAGTTGATTCAGATACCACCTATCCCGGGTGAGACCCACCAGTTGGAAGCCACAGCAGAGAGCATGTGCCACGTGCACCAATTATTTCAGATACTACCTTCCCCAGGAGACACCTAATGCAGAGAAGGCAGACGGCGAGGCTCACCAGTTAAAGCCGCGGCAGAGAGCACGTGCCACCTGCACCAGATGATGCGAATACCACCTACCCCGGGTGAGACTCACCAGTTAAAGCCGCGGCAGAGAGCACGTGCCACCTGCAGCTCCCTCCCGCACAGGAACCACCTCACGGCCTCTGCCATCGTATCGCCTATTGAGGGGGAGCCGGGGACCCTGCAGGGGAATCGGGAAGGGGGGAGAAATGGGGTGAGAAACGAGCGAGGAGGGAGCGCGGGAAGAGAGGAAAATAGGAAAGAAAGAAACGAGCATAACATGGGAGAGGGGAGAGGAGGCGGGAAGAGGCAAGCAATAAAGGACATATGCATACGCAGCAGGAGCCAAACTTAAAGTCGTATACAGGAGATTAACGTACTTATATATAAAATTGAAGAGCACTTTAGGGAGGCAGAGCAGGAAGCATGCGGGATCAACAAAGCCCATGGCGCTGACTGTCTCAGGGCGCTTGCGCACTTGCTGGGGGGTGGGGGGAGGGGGAGGTGGGGGAGAGGAGGGAGAGGGGGGAGAGGGGGAAGATGGGGGAGAGGCGGAGAGGGGAAGGGAGGGGTGGGTGTGGCCCAGGGAAGGAAGAGCGATTAATGATAGAACAACGCTTCTCACACGTAACTGCTGGAATTATTAAATAATACATGTGCAACCCTGTACACGTATTTATATGCAATGTATCCGTACTGTAGAAACGTACCCGAGCAAGCACCAGGGCGCCGTACGAGTGCCCCACGAAGATGGCCGATTGCATGCCGTGAACCGCCATCGCGTCGGTTAGCCCGTCTGCCACGTCATCTATCGTAGGTGATGACGTGGACAGGCGCACTGCCAGGTGTGCCAGCTCCACCACGATGAGCTTCTGAACAAGAACATCCAGAGTTAATGAATGGAGAATCAATGAATAAAGAACAATCTTTGAGGGAGAAAGTGGGAAGAAATAAAAGTGGCGACACTTGCCATTGACTGCTAGGGTTCATAGGAGAAGTATATAACGCAACGTTAGGGGTAACTGGCACCACTTCCAACGAGATTATTTACCTTATTCGGGTAGCTTCTCGAGAGCCCCAGCCCGTGCACCAGCACCACCCGCTCCTCCCTTTCTCCCACCCCTCCCCTTCACTTCTCACGCAACCATGTGTTGACGAGTTACCTTGATGGAGAAGCTTCTCGAGAGCATGTGCACGAACGATAGGTAGGGCGTGAGCCCGAGCCCCAGCCCGTGCACCAGCACCACCCCCTCCTCCGCCTCCTCCTCCCTTGTTACGCGCCCGCCCCTCGCGCCAAGCAGCGGTGCGGTCGATGCGGCTGACGTGGCGCCTGCTGCTGACGTGTCGTCGAAAATCGGCATCACCGCTGCTGCCTTGTGGGTCTTTCGCTGCGAGCAGGGGAAGCGGGGGGCAAAGGGGGAAGGCGGATGGGGGAGGGGAGAGAGGGGATGGGGGAGCGGTGGAGATGGGTTAGGGGGCATAGGGGAGGGCCGACAGTAAGTGGGGGGCGAAAAGGGTGGGATATGGGGAATGGGGGAAAGAGCGAGGAATGGAGGAGAAAGGAGTTTGGAAACAAGTACAATGCAATAGGGGAAGCAGGCCACGGGGAAAAGGGTCAGCAGGAAAACGCATGGAATGTGGTTGGGATGAGGAGCGATAGTTGATTGGATGTCCACGTCAGCACCGAGAGCACACCTTTGGAGCCGATTTTTTGGGAGCGCGGAACCAGTAATGAATGCCGTTGGGCGCGGTGTGCCTGGTCGACGCAAGTGAACGGAGAAAGGGGGGGGGGGGGGGGGGGGGGGGGGGGGGTCAAGGCGAGTCAACAGAGGCCATGAGAAAGGTCAATGGAGGTCAACGGCAGTCAGCAGAGGTCAATGGCTGTCAACGGCGGTCAACAGAGGTCAATGGAGGTCAGTGGAGGTCAGCGAAGGTCAATGGAGGTCAACAGGAGTCAAGAGGGGCACGTACTTGGAGAAGCCGAGGAGGCGCATGGCGGCTGCAGTGAGAAACCCGACAATATGGCCCCTGAAGAGCCATGCGGACAGGAGACAGGCGGAGGGGGGGAGATGGGGAGAGAGTGGTTACTTTAGGTGCTTCAAAAGCGCATGGCGGCGGCGGTGAGGAGCCCGACGATATGGCCCCTGAAGAACCACGCGGATAGGGGGAGATGAGCGGGCGTTGGGGGGAGATAGCACGTGGTGAAGCAGAGAACGGGAGAGGGAGGGGGGGGAAGATGTGGGGAGGGAGGCAATGGAATGGATGGGGGGAGAGAAAGGGGGGGGAGAGGGGGAGATTTGGAGGGAAAGGGGGCGCACCAGACGTAGAAGGCGAGTGGGTGGATGATGGCGCGGAGGGGCTCGCGCGTGTGCGCCATGAAGCGCACCGACTCGTCTACCCCCTTCTCCTTCTTCCGCCTCTCCCCCATCCCCTTAGTCCTCCTTCCGCTCGACTCAAATCCCGCCTCATCCCCCCCCTTCTCTCGCCCTCCGCTTCCGCTCTCCGCCTCTTCCTCTTCCCCTTTTCCGCAATCGCTGCTCCCGCTCGTTCGCGGAAGTTGCGCGTCGCTCCAGTTCCTCCCGAGGCTCCTCGAGGACGCCGCGATTGCCGCCGCTTCCAACGGGCCGCAGATCGCGGAGCCGCCGACAGCGCCGACAGCGGCGTCGACGGTGGTAAGCCTTGGTCTTGCCGCCGCTTCGCTCTCACTCTCGCTCTCCCCCCTCTCGTCCCCTTCCGCTCTTTCGCCTTCCCCCCTCTCCTCCTCCCCAGCCTCGCTCTCCCCTTCGCTGTCGGAACCGAAGGACAGCAGGTCCGGGGGAGGCGGAGGCGGCGCGTTGGGGTCTTTAAAGTGCATTTCTAGGTGCACCTCGGCTCTGTCAACAAATTCTGGAGAGAAAGGACAATGGGGGAAGGACAGGGTACTTGAGTTGACGTGCGTTGACTAGCGTTGACTCAATAGACGTTTTGAGGCGACTGCCTGACGCGGATGGCAGGAGCTTCAAAGAGGGGGAGCGACGAGGAGTCGGGATGAGACGGGACAATGTGAGGTTTGCACGCGTTAGAGACGCTTCGTTACCTTCAACTGCTTCTTGGTATTCGCTCGAAAGTTCGTTGTAGAAGCGGTGAAAGAAGCCGTGCGAGATGAATTGCCGAACGTTTGTACGCGTTAGAGACGCGAGAGACGCACCCATGAACCAGCCCCCCACGAAATCGTTATAGTCCGCTTGCTTCCTGATAATGCGAGGGAGGGAAGGGTCAGGTCCAGACGGAGAAAAAGGATAATGGGAGGGAAATGAGAGGTGGGGATAATTAGGCGGAGAGAATGTAGAGGCCGCGCGGAAGAGCCCCGACGTAATGCAAAAGCGCGCTGACTTGTGCGACGGCGTTGACTTATGCGACGGCCAGGACTCGGTCGAGAAGGGTGAGACAGTCTGGCGGCTTGAGCCAGCTGACTAATGAGGTGCAAACGAAAGGGGTTGCGTTATGCAACTGCATTGACTTACGCGACGGCGAGAACCCGGTCGAGGAGCGTCGAGGTCTCCTCGCGCGATGGGAGCGGGAGCTCCACATACTCGTCACTGATTTGCTTTAGTTGCTTAGAACGAAACACGAAAAACACCGACTCTATAACGAGCCACACGGCGAGGAGCGCGAGAACAGCGTTTGACGGCAGCAGCAGCGCGCCGATGAGGCACGTCGTTCCAGGCACGGAAGTGAAAACGAGAACCGCTAGCCCCCTGATAGGGAGGAGAGGAGAGGGAGAGGGGGTTGTCTTTTGAGTCGACTCAAAAGTCAACGAGAACCGCTAGCCCCCTGATAGGGAGGAGAGGAGAGGGAGAGGGGGTTGTCTTTTGAGTCGACTCAAAAGTCAACGAGAACCGCTAGCCCCCTGATAGGGAGGAGAGGAGAGGGAGAGGGGGTGACGGGTGTGGTATTGGGCTGGTGTTGACGCAGCAACAGCATGCCGATGAGGCACGTAGTGAAAACGACAACTATCACTAACTGGGGGTGAATCAGGAGAATTGGATGGACACGGAGAGGGATGGGGCCGGCGTGTGGGGAAACGGGCGGTACAAGGAACAAGGCAGAGAATGCGCCAGCGAGAAAGAATGCTAAACCACTCGTTCCAACTGGTGCGAGAGTTACGAAGAATCAGTGGGCAGCACGCCACAGGTTACACCCAAAAATTAAACTCACTAAACAAACACAACATCTTACCACGTCACTGAATAAAACTTGTCCACTGCATTTTGCTGGAACTGTTGCCAGCGCGCTTTGCGAAATGATTTAATGGCATCGCACGACTCCGAGTCGTGCAATTTCGCGCGTTTTTCCATAACTGGCCTACTAGGAATGTCTATTCGCTGGGACTGCGACGCGTATCTCGGCTGTGAGTGGCTTTGCGGCTGCGCGTGGGGCAGCGGGGGCGGTCGTGGTCGTAATTGCTGCATGTCGGGTTCGTCAGCTCCCCGCGTGTGGCGGGACAGAAAAGGCTCCTCCGTGCCGCTCGAGAGGTGCGAGGGTGGAGCCCTCGCTCTCTGATATGAGATGCTGAAGACCGTTCTAACAGAAATACGTATTCTAAGCTGAACAAGAAGCTGCCTTGTGCATATATCTGCTAAGAGCCCTGGAAAAATCAGGACGGCATGTGGGTGTGAACGAAGGAATACGTCACGGAGTTACGGGATGGAGATGCTGTCTCGTGTTGAGCCAGGAATCTAGCATGTATTTTGAGGCATGGTTGGTAAACTATTTCGAATCGAACCACGACCTCCGAGGATGCTTGCTCACTATTGGGTGGTTTGAGATGACTGTGGCCGCGCCTTGCTACTAGCGTTTCTTTTGATGCTTTTGTTTTCACTACTGCTTCACCTGGTGAAACAGCTGTGAGGGAAGAAAGCATGAGGCGCTAATTTCGTGCTGCTGAGAGGGGGTGCGATTCGAGCCGCGTTTTGTTGGAGGAGAATTCGGGAATTGTTGAAAGAAAGGTTGGGCGCAGCGTGCACTGTTGATTTGCACTTCGACCCCCACGTTTCTCCGCTGGCCTTCACGCTTGTCGCAAGCGCAGACAATCCACTCTCGCCACGTGTCCCAGCTTATTCAGACCCCCATCCACGCCAGCAGTGACGAAACTCTGACCGTTCGCGGACCTGGCGAATCGAGCCAAACGCGATGCACGACGGAGCTTGGTGGTTGCTAGACCAAGACGCAACCGACTTTGAAGAGTCTGTCGTTTGTGGTGCCCAAACTGGTCGGCGCTTGGGAGGCCTCTCGAGAATGATATATGTGTGGAGCAACTGCCCAAGCGCGCAGCCGTCATGTCGAGGTAAGAAAGTGCTTTCCAATTGGTAGCGTTACAATATTTACAACCTAACCGCCTGTTTCGTGGCTGGGCGAGCAAGGTGTGTCAGGAAGGACTCCCTGTTCCTGAACTGCCGTGTGCTTTGTCCGATTGGTGTGGAAGTTGCCAGCGGGTACAACGCTACAATCACATATCGACGGGATACTCTTCTACCAGAAATTCAACTTTACTAAAGTGCTACGCTATATTACTGTTCTACAATTTTAGAGCTACTTTAATGTAACACTTACCTCAACACTCCATAAGAGCGGAGGATGGTGGAACACGAGTGGGTCGAGAACGGAAGAGAACATGTAAGGAATTTTCCCGAATTCCTTATCGGGGTTGACTGCTACGCGTACAGCCCGATTTTCGGACTTTGCACGTTCGGCCGATTTCAACGCTGTCGAGGCTCATCGCGTCGCCTCTGGCATTTTCCCATCGCCAAACTTGCACCCCAACCTCGCTCGTCCGGGGTTTCCTCCTAGCTAGGCTAGCCCGTACATTAGTCTGTGCCTTCATTGTATTCGCAGTTCATTTTATCACAGTCTCATTATTCGTTTACCTGCGCACTCTCTTTTACAACTCATAATACCTGGTATCAGAGCTACTTTCCTAGTTCACCCCGCTTTTCCGAGGGTAGTTTGGTGACATAGGGTGTGGCTGGTTTAGTTACTACACGACTGTTGGCCGCAGGGATTGTTAATTCAATCCTGCCCGACTCCGATAGTTCGTGTTTTCACTTGCCTGAAGGCCATGGAGACCCGACTGCCCACCAAACGTAGCGCTAGGCACATGGATCAGGAGGCGGTTAACAGGATGATGGCGCAAGTGGCAGAAATGCAGGAGAGCATGAAGACATTAATGGCGGAAGTGACAACACTGCGAGAGGAAAACGCCGAGCTACGCCAGACGCGAGGTGAAGCGCGTCAGGAGTCGCCTGTGGACGAAGGTGAGGGCAACAGTCAAGCGATGAGCAGTCCGCTTGATGCGCTCACACGTGACTTCGAAGAGGAGGACAGGCAGCGAGCGGCAGCAGGGCCAAATGCATTAACGACGATCAAGATCAAGTCCGTTAACCCACCCCCGTTTAATCCTACGGACAAGACGGTGAGAAAGTTAGAACGAGAATGAAATGACTATGAATGAAGTGAGTACAAATAGGAAACCCTAATGGGATTGTACCCCCTATAGGATACCCCACTATAGCCTACACAAATAAGTAAGCTATAAGGTTATGACACACCCCCATAGGCAAAGTGGGGGAGAACAAGGGGTCACAAGACCAGTCAAGCAAAGCAAAGCAAAGCTCAGGGTGGATCACAAAGTCACCACACATTCCGAGCACAAGTTCAAAGGCCAGAAGGCCAGTTCACATGCAAGATCACATATAGAGATATATAAGAGTCAAGCAAGCAAGAGCAAGAGTATATATAGGTAAAGGTACAAGCAAGGTCAAGAAGTGAGCAAGTGAGGCAAGACAGGCACAAGACCCAGCTGCGTGCAGCAGCGCTGATGATCACAAGGCGCAAGTGCCTTGGTGAAGACATCAGCAGTGTTGGCCTCAGAGGCCACGTACGCAAGTCGCAACTGTCAACGCTGCTGTAGCTCACGAGCAAGAAAGTAGCGGAGAGCAATGTGCTTTGTCCTGTGCTCCAGTCGCTGCTCTCGACACAAGGCCAGCATGGCCTTGTTGTCTACGTACAGGACTGGAGGAGAACGAGGCGGCTCTCCAAGGTCGGTCAGCAGGTATGTGAGCCAGCGAAGCTCCTGGGCCGCCATAGCCCCGGCGTAGATCTCAGCCTCACAACTGGAGCCGAGAACAGAAGACGAGCGGGTAGCCCGCCACGAAACAGAGCCGGAACCAAGGCTGAAGGTGTAACCCTGTGACGACCGCTGCGTAGCCTGGTCGTCAGCCCAAGAAGCGTCCGCGTGCCCAGTGAGGACCACTGGACTGCGCCCTCCAAGCACTAGCCCCATGCCCGACGTACTGCACAAGTAGCGCAATACCCTCTTCGCTGCAGCCATGTGCTGTGGTCGGTGTCCCCCAAGAGCAACATAGCGTGCGAGAATGCTAAGAGGGTATGCAAGGTCAGGTCGTGTGCAGGTCATCAGGTACATGAGGCAGCCAACAAGCTCTGCATACGGGCCACTCGACTCTACGGACTCATCCAAAGGCAGAGCTGAGAGCGAGTGGCGAGTAGGCAGAGGAGTGGCCTGAGGCGAGGAGTACGTGAAGCCGAAGCGCTGAAGGACCTGCTGCACCATGTGTGACTGAGTCAGGGTAATGGTGCGGCGTGCTCTGTCCCGGGTGATCTGCAAGCCAAGATAGCTGCGCAGTTCACCCAGGTCAGTGCACGTGTGTCTCTTCTGCAGCTCGGACTTCACGTAGGCGAGTCCAGTAGTGTCAGCTGTGGCAAAGACCAAGTCGTCGACGTACACGAGGATGTAGAACGGCGGCAGAGAGGTGTCGGTGCGCAGAAACAGCGACGGGTCTGCAGTGGAAGGAGCAAACCCAAGTGCCGCCAGCGTAGTTCTCAGTGTGTCGTGCCACTCACGCGGCGCCTGGCGGAGACCGTAGACTGGACGCTGGAGACTCCACTGGGTACTAGGAGGGAAAGACCCAGTGAAGCCAGGTGGGCGACGCAGCCAGATCTCCTCGTGCAGGCTGCCCTGCAAGAAAGCAGTGCTGAAGTCGAGAGAGTGCAGCTCGTAGTCACGGTGAGCAGCAACGTGCAGCAGTACCCGAAGAGTGGTCATCTTCGGGGTGGGGGAGAAGGTCTGAAAGTAGTCAACTCCCTGCCGCTGACTGAAGCCACGAGCCACGTAACGCGCCTTGAAGACAGGCGGAGAACCCGGCGGCCGTTTCACCCTGATGATCCACATGCCACTGACGATGTTCGCCCCATGAGGGGGAACCGCGTCAACGTAGGTGCCTGTGGACTTCCAGGAAGCCATCTCTGCATCCATAGCTGCCTGCCACTGAGAGGAGTAGGGACCCTCTATCGCCTCCGCGTAAGAGCGCGGAGTCGGGATGTCTAGTGCATCCGGGTCTCCCTCAGGGGCGAGCAGTACAGACGCGAGATGAGGTGAAGCGGCGGCCAGACACTAGAACTCCTCCTGCCTGTCCTCAAGGACGTCCGTGCCAAGGGCACACTCACCCCCGACGGACGGAGGACAGGTAGACTCAGACTCAGCGACAAGACTAGCAGCGTAGTCTAGACGACAGCGCGCAGCAAAGTCGACGAGCTCAGTGACAAGGGCAGACGCAGCAGAAGACTCGAAAGAAGGGTCAGTGACGGCAGTAGCAAGGAGACGCGTGACAGTAGGACTGGCAGCACGAAGAGAGTCCGACTCCGGGTCGGCAAGAGCAAGAAGAGAGGAAGCAGGAGGAGAAGGCAAAGGGGCACGCAGAGGAGCAGTAGACGGACGCAGAGACATCCGGTGCGTGCCAGGGAAAGGAGGAGGACGCTGACGCGAACCGCGACCACTAGTGCGCGCAGTACGAACAGGCGACGCAGGACGAGACGCAGGCTCACGAAGCTCAGTAAGACCTCCAGTCAGACCAGCGTAGGGAGAAGGAGCAGGCAAAGGGGAGGCAGGCTGTTGCTGTGACTGTGACTGGATAGGCTGTTGACCCTCTAAGGGAGGAGGAGGAGGACCAGGAGAAGGCGTAAGACCAAGAACTTGATGCAGGAGCGGAACGAAGTACGGTCGGGGCCGCGTGGCGACGCCAGAAACAGCAGGGACAACACCAGTACCCCCAGCAGGAGTACCGGCTCCAGCAGCACCTCCAGCAGCACCTCCAGCAGCACCTCCAGTAGCTCCAGAACCCCCAGCAGCACCTCCAGTAGCCCCAGAACCTCCAGCAGCACCAGGAGCACTGCCAGTCGGACCGCCAGCGGTAGTCTCAGCGCCAACACGCTCAGCAGCAACAGCTCCAGTAGAGCCCGCAGGCTCAGCAGCTCCAGTACTCCCAGTACGAGCACCTCCGGGACGCGCGGCAGCAGCACCCTCAGCAGCCGAAGAACCTCCAGCACCAGCAGCACGCCTCCAGCGCCGGGCAAACCACTCACGCAGCTCCTTTGGGGAGAGTGGCTCTCGGCGAGA